GCCAAGGACATCTGAGGACCACCAGATTCTATCCCAGATGACACAGCTTTGATGCCAGGCTTCCAATCCACAGGCCTATGAAAGAATGAATCGGTCCTGTTTCAAGTCACTGCATTTGAAGAAGTTTCTTCGTGTGATCGCAGGAAATTAATATAACTTCCATGTTAACTAGGTCTTTCACCTTCTGGACTCTGGCATCTTGTCAGCGCTACTCTCTAGAAGGCCTGGCCTGTGGCTGACTCTCAACCAAGTGTAGCCATTCCTGCCACGGCTGGCTGCTCCTGGGCTGCCAGACTCAGCTGTTCCTATATAAGTCTCTCCTTCTGCAGTGACATGACCTGGAAAGTCCCCACGAGGAACATCACATCCTGTGCCTGAGAAATATGAGAAACCTGCAAATAAAGCCTATATTATGTCCATCTTGCACTGCCCACTCCACATAGCCGACCCCTCCCAACCTTAAAGGAAAGGACATGAAGGGAAGAGGATGTTGTTTGGTTTGGGCAAAACTTTCTTAAGCTGCTTCCTGCTCTACAATAGTCAAGTCCCTCACTGGTTGACATCCTAAGCACAGTCCTCTTCTCCTTCCTCAACACAGCCAATAACCGGAAGAACAAAGGTGACAAAAGTAGGTGCTGAGAAACTGAGTGGATCCCTCCCGACTCGGTACTGCATAGAATGAAGTAGAAGCAAGGACAGGACGAGACTCACAGGAAACCAAGTCACAACCATCTTATTCAAGAGCACCAGGCAGAGAGAAAGCACAGATGTCTCGTGTGAGAGACAAGTCCTGAGAGTACACAGGACCGTTACAGGAGGTTTTGGAAACTGAAGGCCTCGGGGTAGACCAGATGGAACAAGGCTTCTGCCAGGACTAGAGATGGCCAGCTAAGCTCCTAAAGAGTTGATCATGAAAATGAAAAGGGGAAACCACCTAGGTATTCTGAAAGAGGAAGTGCAGTAAATGAGTTACTGTACAACCTGTGGGTGATAAGAATGTGAAAAACAATGGAGGGTCAGGCTAGAGAGGTGGTTCAGTGGTTAGAGAAGCATAGTGATTTTGCAGAGGACTCAGGATTGGTTCCCAGCACTCAAGTCAGATAGCCTCTGTCCTCTCCACAATTGCAGGAACATATGCACATGTACCTACATACAGAGACACACACACATAGACACACACACGAGGGTGGGGGGAGAGAGAGAGAGCTCTGCCTCCCGAGTGATGGGATTAAAGGCATGGGCCACCAATGCCCAGCTCGCATTGGTGGGTTTTAACTAAGCATTGACCAAAACCAGATGTGAGGAAACATATCCGAACCAAAAATATACAGATTTTTTTCTCATCATTCCCTATTCAGGGCCACTATTTACATGGCATTTACACTGAATTAGGTAGCATAAGCTACGCAAACAGAGAAGATTTGATATAAACTGAGCACTTTCAAACAGCGAGATAAAAGGAACCTTTCCTCTTCCTAAAAAATTAAGTTAATACTAAAAAATAGACTATAGGAGAGATGGGCAAAGGCTATTTGCAAATACCATTTCATTTTTCTTAGGAATCTGAGCATCCGAGTTCTCCATCTGACTCTGACAATGTCCCACTGAGGGAGAACACACAACAAACATGTGGCTCATCACACAGATCTGTGTCAGTGTGAGATGGCTCCACATGCAGAGGAAAACCACACAACTGTAGGATGAAGAGCCCACAGTGGCAGAGCTGAGGTGATGAGCAGACCTCCTGTGCCTTATGAACTTGAACCTAGGGAGGAAAATGAAAGAGCCTTGGAGAGAAGGTGTAAATGGGTACTGCTGTCACCATTCACAAAGCTCTGAGCAGGTCAAAGCTCTGCGAAGCCTGACTTCTCATTGGTGGTGACTCTTAGTTGTCATCCTCCCTCACGCATTCAGACTTTTTTCTGGTGAAAATAAAATTGTGAACTTTGAAATTAAGTTGCAGACACACAAGATGCCAGCTTAGAAGTAGATAGACAAAAAAGCAGGAAAAGATTTTCATGAGGAAGAATTTGACTTAAGACACAAGACAAAGAAAATTATTTTAGGGACATGGAAATCATGTCTCTGAGAGGGCAAAACCCATCACTCCAACTTATTACATAATGGCATCATTCCAACACAGCTCCTTTTAGGAAGGAGAGACGGAAATCGCACAAGGAGAGGGGGACAAAGGACACAAAAGGAGGGTGTCTCCCTAACGGCAGTCCCTGGAAGGAGACAGACCCTCACATGTCTGTGTATCATTCTCAGTGCAGGAGCCTCAAATTCAATTAGTCTTCACCCCAGTCCCGGCCACATGGCCAAGGGGCAGGGGCTTGCGGCTCCACAAGACAGTGGAGAAGTGGAGAGAACCATGATAATATATTCATATTATTCTGTACAGGAAAGATGGGAAAGAGCCCCAAAGAACAGTAAAAAGTACTGCTTGCAAATGCAGACTAAGATCCATTAGCCCTGGCTGAAACACAGAGCCTTCCAGCAAGCAATTTTACTACTGAAAAACATTAGCCTAGAATAGACTAAAGGAGACTAGAATAGAATAGAAAACGCCTGAGTGCATCGTGTGGGACAAGGGCTGACATTTCTCATGAACCATCTCCAGCTCCATATATACAAAAGACACTACAAATGAATGCACTCAGAGAAATAAAGAAACATATACCACAATCCACACACTCATACAGCACAAACATGCATGCTTACTCATATATATTCACACATGCATTCAAACACAGACATACACAATTCTCACACCCCACACCAGTGCACACATATATCACTATATTACATACAAACATATACACACTTGCAGACACAGGCACCATGAGAACATGCACATGACCTGTATCCCTGCACCAGCAAATCAAAGCAGGTACCACTGGCAGCCCTTTGGGAAACAACATTTAATCCTACGAGACCCCCAGTAAGAGAAACACTTTCTCAACTTAAGATACTGCATGATTCTCTTTCCATTTCCATATGGCAAAACAGAAAGATTAAAAATAATACGTGAGTACCCAAGTCCAAGGACCCTTAATTCAGCAATGCTGGAAGAGCAAATGTGGTGAGTTTCTACAACACCAAATTAACAGTGAAGGAAGAAACTCATCTTCCAACTTGCAGATGGAAGGCCTGCAGCAAGCATGAACGTCACTGAATTCATCCGTGTCTTACAATAAAACACCCACCCGAGGGAAAGCTTTCCGGGCTCCGCTGACAAATGACTTAACTTCCAGGGAGTCAGGCAGACACCAGTCAAGCCCAATCAAACTTAATCATGTAAGAATATATTTAGCCAACTAAAATTACTGGTCTCGAAACTTCCTGGAACTGTTTTTATCTATTCTTGCACAACATGTGTCTGTTTCTCTCAAATGCCACTTGCCTTTCTCAGTAAAATACACTGGTGGAAAGCTAATTTTAACCCTAGGAGGTTAAGGCAGCCTTGGGCAATATCACACTGTCAAAACAACTAACCTAAAACTTTTAATATATGTAGGACACAGCTTTCTTCATAGATCACAAATTTGGGGAAAATTCATGTCAAAATTGAGCAAGGGATCTCAAGGTTCAGCGAGGAACCACCTTGGAGGCAGAAGGGAAGTCACAGCTTTACTCTTGCTTGACTAGGGGAGTCACCTTGATGACTGTGACAAGAAACCACTTCTGAACACACATATCCTCATCACAGACAGCACAGCATAGCTCTTCAGCTGGGAGATGACTTGTCCCAAACACTTTTTAACACAATAATGACAAAGAACTCATTTGAATTTATCCACTAAAAGAACACAAAGGAAGAAAAGATGCAGCTTCAGTGCAGAGAGGGAAGATACAAGGACTCACTTGGAAGGTTTGCTTTTGTTCCTTGCTGCAAGTACTGTAGGCAGCAAACTCCAAACTGCACAGCTTGCTTGATCATAAAGCAGCCCATAAAAATCCACATAACAGAGATGCCCAAGGGTGCAGGAGCCTGGGACTGCTCCCTGGGGCCACTCCACACCCTGTCTCTGGGATGACTCCATGCTACTCTGTCCTGGAGGAGTCCCAAGCCTTCTTCCCAAAGACAACAGAACAAGAACAGACGATCATAAATGGGTGAAGAGGGGCTGGAGAGATAGCTCAACCACTCAAGTGCTTGCCTTGCAGCATGAAGACCTTAATTCAATCCTATCGTACCAAACAGGGAGGGAGGCAGCAAGAGGGCTCAATGATTAGGGGCACTTGTATGCAGGGTATGAGAAGCTGAGTTTGTGTGTGCATATTGTCTATGCTAGGCACAGTGAGGCACACGTAAGATCTCAGGGATGAGCAAGCACAAAAAGGAAGATCCCTGAAAGTAACTGCTCAGCCAGGATAGCCTAACTATAAAGCTCCGGGCTCAGCAATGGTCCCTGTCTCAAAAATAAAAGGTGAACTGGACATGATGGTGCACGCCATTAATCAAAACACTTTGGAGACAGAGACAAGTAGTTCTCTGTGAGTTCAAGGACAGCCTGGCCCATATAGTGAATTCCAGGCCAGCTAGTGAAATCTCATCTAAAACAAACAAACAAAAAGGTGGAAGGTACTTGAGGAATGACAACCAAAGTCAAATTCTGGCCTCAACCTGCACACACATCACACAAACACATACAAAAGAAATGGGTGAAGAGAAGGCAGAAGGGGGAAGGGAGTCATCCCCTCTTCACAGCCTGAGGTCTGACTAAAGCTCCACCCATCTCAGCTTCCCTCCCAGATGCCCTGACAAGTTGCCAGATTCCCTGAGAAGTTGGCTGTTAAACTGATTTTAATAAACTTCCCTCTATTTATATAAAGTACATTCAGAACTTCTCAGGAACAGAGCAAAGAAATAAACAATACTTCAGGGAGGAAGAAGATGAGAACTCACTGCACACAGACCAAGACTGCACTCATGACCCAGGGTCTCTCAGCCTAGGAGGGAGCTGCCAGAGCCAAGCTGAGCGTGGTGTGCCTACCTTCACCCTGACTGTGAGCTCTGATATGCTGCTCATCATATCGTTGATGGACCGGAACAGCTGCAACAAGGACTCCACGAACTCGGCCTCCCCCTTGTTTTCATACAGCCTGTAAGAAACACACAACACTGTGGGGACCTGAGGAAAAGCTCTGCGCCCTGAACCCACATAACCAAGGGAACTGATGCCCCGGTGGGACTATGAGGTGCCATCTCCAGCATCCATCAAAAGGGGAATGTGATTTGATACAAGCTATTGAGATATGCATCAGAGTGGTGGATTTACAATGCATGTTGCTGGTAACTTGACACACTTCATAAGCCTAAAATGACATAATCTATACAAAGGGAAATATGGAAATAAGGAAACAAAAGGAAGAAAAGGAGGGAGATATGATGAATCAATTTACCTTTATCCTACCCCCCCAAATAAAAACTATTTTCATTTGACATGCTTTATGCCAGCTTTCAATTATTCATTAATTATTTGATTTTATGGTACTGTTGATGGATCCCAGACTTTGTGCATTCCAAATAATTACATTTGTAGAGCTCTATCTTCAAGCCTTCTGTCAGTATTCTTAACTTCTAATGTTATGTAACTAACATAAGGCAAGTTAATTGTCCAAAAGTGACAGGCTCTTATAAACATTTGAAAAAAAGAATGACATTATATCGGTAAATTCAAATTTAGGTTCAGAAATGGCACTACACCAGTGCATCTATTTAAGAGGCAATGGGGATCAGAAAACTGTCAAGATCTTTACTTCTGCCTTATGTGGACAATAAGGCTCTTGTATGCTGGTTCCATGGATGCTGATATATGCTGCTCATCATAAACAAGTTCCATCTATAAATTATTTATTAGCAGTTACTGCAAGTTACATTTACATTTTAAAATGTAGCAACTCAGATGTTTTATTAATGTAAACTAGTTTCCTGCCTAATTAAAAATAGACCCCACCTGAAACTTGTACACAATGGAAAATTTCATAAACTCAATGATAATTAATTACCCCAGAGGTAATCTTACATTTAAATGAGTTCCATTCTAAAGCAAGGAATTCTATATAAAGTGGGAAATTGCAACCCAATGCACCTGTTTTGTAAATAAAGGTTTCCAAATAGAGGTTCGCTTAAATGATGTACTGAACAATTAAAATTATAGAGTCATGAACTTCTGTTGGCAGGTCGTGGGGAAACAATGGCGAGTGTCGATGAAAATACCTGGGAGGTGCCATGATGTTTTAGAACTAGCCTAAGGAGACTTAATTGCCTAAACGTAACAGGATTTTATAACCATTTCAAAACGACATTATAATGATAAGCTCAAAATTATTTTCAGTAATGGCAATATACCAATGCATTCATTATAACCATGGAATATAATCCATGGAAACCAGGAAATTGTCAAGAGCTTCAGTCTGCTTTGAATGAACAGTAAGAATCTTGTACACTGGCTCCATGAATGCTGATATATGCCATTTACTGTATATAAGTTATAATTTTCTGTCACCCCAGGACATCTGCCAGTTCCTGGAGCTGCATGGTGTGTGAAACTAAACACTAAGATGGAAACTTCTAGATAGCCAAGTGGAACTGGTACCAGTCTACAGAAGAAAGATTTGAGTTTCAAAAATTAAGGAAAGAGACTTCCAAAAACACAACAGATAAAAGACAAAAATAAAATAAATAAATAACAAACTAAACAAAACACAGCAGATTCTTGAGTGGGAACGCTGGAGAACATTGGAAAATGAAATGCAGACTACAGCTCACCAGGACTATAAGACACCCAGCCCACCATAAGCTCTCTCAAAACCAAGTGCCCAAACTGATCTTTCGTTGGTTTTAAAGGTCAACCTAGGATCATCTGGACAGTTTCAATGAAAAGTTATCTAAGCCAGGTTGGCCTGTGGGCATGTCTGTGGAGGGTTATCTGGATTGGTTGGTGTGAGAAGACCTAGCACACTGTTTGTGACACCATTCCTGAAGCAGGGGCTCCTGAAAAGGATTAGAGAAGACAATGATAGCTAACAGCAGACAGGGTACATTTGTTATCTCTTTGCTCCTGACTATGGCTGTGCTTGCCTTGACTTCCTGGAAGTGATAAGACTTTGACCTAGAATTGAAAGGCAAATAAACTTTCTCTCCCCTATGTTGCCTTTTGTTGAGGTAGGCATATTTACCACAGCAACAGAAATGGCCTGGCTTACAGCACACCGATGCCCAAGCACAGTCTCCGACAAGACCAAGAGGCTCAACCCAGGAGATGGGATGAGCCATTTCAGGAAGAAAAACACACAGTCTGGAGCTTCCAAGGTGGTCCAGACTTCAACCAGAACTCATTAATCTCAGCAGAAGATGGTTTCCATGGCCAAACCAAAGAGGAAAAGATAATGGCCCAAAGCACATGAGAGTTCCTCTAGTCAGTTGGGAAACATCAAAACTAGAGGAAACATGGGGATGGGGAGAGGGCTCAGTGGTCAAGAGTGCTGGTACTGAGTTTGGTTCCCAACATGTACATGACATCTCACAACAGCCTCCAGGGAATCTTTTGGCCACTATGGGTACCACACACATGTGTTTAAACACAAGACTGAGACACACAAGCTGGCACAAAACTACAAATAAAACATCTTTGCGTAATTAGAAAAAAATAAAACAATAGAAAGTCAGAAAAATAAAAGGTGGGAAAAACAGAAGTCAGGGTGAATCATTGTAGTGCACAAATGATCTTTAAAAAATGCAAGTTGCCAAATTAAACAATGTAATAATATTAGGAATTCACTGTATGAGCTAAATAAAGACTAGGCACAGCAAGAAACAAAAATAGTAAAATGGAAACAACACAGAAAAAAGTTACTAAGAGCTTGGACAAAGGAGGAAAATAGAGAAGGGAGGTACAGAGGAGAGATCTAGGACACATGTTAACAAGTATCAGCAGAAAGGGAGGATCATGAGGAAGGGCAGTCATTAGAATGATGATCGAAGACTTCAACCCCAAACCCCAGATAGTCAATGCAAATTAAATGCAAAAATAAAAGTGTTTTTCATGCAGCGCACATAGGTTATTTCCTATGCAAATAACCACAAAGACAACCCTAATGGCAGCTGGGGGCGGGGGAGTAGATACACATATTACTCTACATTTAAGGATGTAACAATAACACTGAGTCTGGAAACAGACTTCTTCCCAGAAATGATGGAAACCAAAAGAAAATAGAGTAACACCTGGAGGAAGAAAACTGCCAATCTGGAGGGCTATGTCAAATGAAAGTATCTTTCAAACACAGACATGAAATAAATCATTTTCATATACACAAAGCCTGTAGCAGATTTCTTCTAACGGAAATTCTGAGGGGAACTCTTCTGACAGAAGGAAAACGGCCCCTGAGGGAAACCTGAAGTTAAAAGAGAAATGAAAAGCAATTCTATACATAGAGCACAACCAATGAATGCCGGCTATACAAAACAACAATGTGTGACCAAGCTCAAAGTACATGTAGAATTAAAGTACAAGGGGTGACATTAATGCCAAGGACAAAATGAATGCATGAAGTCTCTGTGTTCTGCTGTTCTGGATAGAGCTAGCATTTTCAAGAGAGTGGTAATGGTAATTTAAATTATTCTTTAAATCTAGTAGACATGTTTCCATTTGGGATAATTAACAACAACAACAACAACAAAGTAAAAGACATTTAACACATTAAGACAGCAGAAAATAAGATGGAAAATAGAAAACATTAAGTGGTACTGAAGAAAGCACGGAGGGGGGAAAAAGGGGGAATATGGTGCTTAAAGAGAGAAATGCATAGAGAGTTAATAAAAACAAATGTGTGAAAAATATGCAAGTTGAGATGATTAAGATGGAGCCATTTAATGGTTTGTTAAATCTCTAAATACAAGTCAGCAGGGTTGGGAAGACTCGCAGTGGTCAAGAGAGCACTGCTCTTGCAGAGGACCTGAATTCTGTTCTTAGCACCCTGATCAGACAACTCACAATTGCCTAGAATTCCTTCGGCCATCCCTGAGCACTAACTCACATGCACATACCCACACAAAGACACACAAGCAAACACATGATTTTTAAAGTTTTTCAATGATTTTTAAAGTTTTTCAAAGAAAATATGGTGTAAAAACTATAAGAAAGGGATCTTATGCATATTTACCTAATATTACCACTAGAAAGTCCACACCAGCACGATGGCAGCAACATCACAATGCAGGTTCTCTATCCAGTACCTGCCTCCTCAACCTCAGAATGATGCCACTCCTGCTATGAAAGATCATGGCCAACAACTACCAGTTCAAGTGGCCAATGCCATTTCATGACTTTGACCTTGAAAAGCACTCCCTTGCCACACCCTCTGAACAAGTCTACAGTCTACTGTTGGCAGGCATGTTCCCACTACAATGTTCAGCTATAACCATGGAAATGTTATTCCCAAATAAAGACCATTGCACATAGCTGAATGTATAATGCTATTGAGGAATGTGTAATACCATGGAAATGCTATTCCCAAATATAGACTGTTACACATCTCTGTTAAACAGAGTAGAGAGATGACAGATATAGAATAATGGTATCTAGAAAGAGGGAGAGATAGAAACACAATAAGGCAGTGATTTGAATAAAAATGTTCCTCATTGGCTTTGATGTTTGAAGGCTAGGTCCCCAGTTTTGTTGCAGTTTGGGTAATGGTGTTTTATTACAGCAACAGTAAAATAATTAATATTGATAGACGATGATGATAATTTATAGATGATAGATAGATGGATAGATAGATGTAAGAGACAGATGAAAGATCACTGGATGAAATCTAGAAAAATGATAAACAGAGGGATAGATTTGACTGATAGATGAGGATAGATACAAATATACACATAGAGATGATAGATGGGTAGAGAGCTATATATAATAGGCCTAGATAGATATAGAGAAAAGATAATAGACAAGATAGAACATTATAAATAGTATTCTGGTTTCTTTCCCATTGCTGGAAAAAAAAAAAAAAAAAAAAAAAAACAATGACCAAAGTCAACTTAGGGTAAAAGGGGTTTATTTGGCTTATACTTTGGGTCGCAGTCCATACTGGAAGAAGTCTTC